TTCCCTCGTGGGAATTATTTCTACCAGGTTCGGTCTCCACCAGCCGAATTCTACAGATCCGGGCATTGTAAAGACAACCTGGTTCTAGCCTGTAACTTTGATTGGTAACAGCTTTTCACTGTTGGCACTTTTAGTCACGGTTGAACTTACTTCGTGTTAATAGATGTCTACTGTTGTTCTGGGGCTGATTTTTGAAGTTCTCAGTTGTCACCAACAAAAATGCTGCTTTTTTCCAGCAATGAACAATGTCCGTTTTATTTTGTTTTGAGAAGCCTTTTGAGATAATTGCAAAGTCACGTTCAGTTTTAAGAACAAAATACAGAGAGACCCTGTGTCCCTTTGCTGGTGTTTCCTGATCACATCTTGTAAACTATGGTATAGTACACCCCCCTCCCCTCCCCACCCCAGGACACTGACACTGACACAGTCCAGACACAGGGAGGGGCCCTCCTGCTGCCTTTCATGGCCACGCCCACTCTGCTCCCCCTGGACCCTGGGCAGTCCTGCTCCGCACACCACATCTGCGGTCTGTCCTTTCCGTGACGTCGGGTAGATGCAGTCACGCACTGTGTAACCTTTTGGGATTGGCTTTTCTCACTTGGCAGAATTCTCTGGAGAGTCATCCAAGCTGTCGTGTGTTTCAATAGTTGTTCCTCGGTGTAGACGTCCCATGGTTTATTTAACCCTTCAGCCACGGAAGGACATCCGGCCTGTCTCTGTCCCTCTCTCTCTGCTTGTGGATACCCACTCACTCCAGAACCATTACGTTCACTTGCCGTCTTCCTCCACTGAATCGCTTTTGCGTCTGTGTCAAAAATCTGGGGCACCTGGGGGGCTCAGTCAGTTGAGTGACCGACTTTTGATCTCAGCTCAGGTCGTGATCTCACGGTTCATGAGTTCGAGCCCTGTGTTGGGCTCTGAGCTGACAGCACGGAGCCTGCTTGGGATTCTGTCTCCCTCTCTGTCTGCCCCTCCTCTGTTCGCTCTCTCCCTCACACTCAAAGTAAATAAACTTTAAAAAATTAATCTAATTAGACATATTTATGTGGGCCTGTTTTCGGTGTCTCTATTCTGTTCCACTGAGGCAGTCTTGAGGCAATCTTGATTACTGCTGCCACGTCGTAAGTCGTAAAGCTGGGGGGACAGATTCCCCTCACCTGATTTCCCTGTTCTGAAGTTGTTTTAGCGATTATGCTTCCCTGATCTTTCCGTATACGTTTTATGGGTTTTTTTTTAATTTTTGTTTTCAACGTTTATTTATTTTTGAGGAGAGAGAGTGTGAGCGCAGGAGGGGCAGAGAGAGAGGAGGAGACACAGAATCAGAAGCAGGTGGGTGAATCTGCGAATTTGGAGGACTTGGTCCATTTGGTGAAGTGCCCGAAATCCTGGGTATAAAGAGGTTGACAACCTCTGTTCCTGTCCCCACGTCGCTAGGGTCTGTGGTGATACCGCGGTTTCGTTCGTGATGCCGCACTCTTGAGTCTTCCCTTTGTCCGTTTTCTCAAACTTGGCAGAGAACGCAGTCTTTGTTTCATTGTTTCTCTCTACTTTTTTGTGTTTTCAGTTCAACTGATGTCTGCTCTTGCCTTCGTTATTTTGTTCCTGCTCTGGGTGTATGTTGCTTTCTTCTAGGTTCTTGAGGCGCTAGCTTAGATTACAGAGTTGAGATTTTCTCTTTTCTGAAGTACGAACTTGGCGCTGGGCACTCTGCCGTCTCGGCACCGCGTTAGCCGTGGCCACGAGTTTGACGCAAAAGTTCAGCATATGGTTTCAAGGCTTCCTTCGAGACTTTGACTCGTGGCTTATTCAGAAGTGTCCCGGTTGGTTTCCAAGTGTTGGAGAATTCCCTGTTGTCACTCTTGCTGATTTTCTAGCGTGATTCCGTGGTGGTCAGAGAACACATGTTGTATGGTTTTCATTATTTAAATTTCTTGGCTTGATTTTACGGCCCAGGGTGGGTCCTGTCCTGGTGTCTATTCGACAGGTGCTGGGAAAGAACCCGATTCTGCTGCTGGTGGCTCAACAGCCTTGTTCCATAAATGCTCAACCGATCCTGTGGGTTGATGGTAGTGTTGAATCCTTGTGCCTTTGCTGATTTTGTGTTCGGTATTTCCATCACCTGTTGAGAGAAGGGTATTCTAGAACCACATTCTAGTTGATTCTACTGATTTGTCTGGTTCCACTGGTTTCTGCTTGGTATATTTTGTAGCTCCATTGTTTGATCACACATACTTAGGGTTGCTGTGTCTTCCTGGGGGATATTCCTGTCTGTCTGCGGTGGTTGTATTTTATTTGAAGTACACTGTATCTTATATTAAATATAGCCACTATTTCGCAAATATTGTCTTCTAGTCTGTGACTTGTTTTCTCATTCTTTTGACCAGGAATTTTCTTCTTGAGTTCTAGAAATTTGACTATGACACGTCTTGATGAATTTCTGTGGGTTTACCCTTCCTTGGGCGTTCACTCAACATCTTGAATATGTAAGGTTAGTTCTTTTACCAAGTTTGTAAAATTTTTCCGCCATTGTTTCCTTGAGCACCTGTTCAGCTCTGTCTGCTTTGTCCTCTTCCTAGCGTGAATGCTGGGTCTTTTGTCCCATGTGTCTGGGAGGCTCTGTTAGTTTTTTTTTTTTTTTTTCTCAGAAAATTTTCCGTTTCTCGGTTTGGGTAACTTTTACTGTTCTGTCTTACATTTCAGCGAAGCTCTGCTCTGTCCCCTCCATTCTGCTGTGGAGCCCATCACCGAGCTTTTTGTTTTTGTTATTGTGTTTTCCAGTTGTGAACTTCCCATTTGGTGATTCTTTTTTTTTTTTTAAAGATTTTTTTTTTTTATGTTTCTTTATTTTTGAGAGGCAGACAGAGACAGAGCATGAGCGGGGGAGGGGCAGAGAGAGGGGGAGACCCAGAATCCGAAGCAGGCTCCGGGCTCCGAGCCGTCAGCACGGAGCCCGACGCGGGGCTCGAACCCACGGACCGCGAGATCATGCCCTGAGATGAAGTTGGACGCTCGACCGACTGAGCCACCCAGTCATTGGGTGATTCTTTATGTTTTATTTCTTGGCGGAGATTTCCAATTCTTTCCCACTTATTTCAAGTGCGTTCGTAATCGCTTGTGGAAGCAAATTTATTGTGTCCGCGTTGGAAGCTTTAGCTCCTTCTCCCATTTATCATCTGTGTTGTCTTTTTCATTCAGTCGGAGATATTCTCGGTTCTTGGTGGGACGAGTGATTTTCAGTGGAAGCCTGGTCATTTTGAGTTTCCTAAGACTGGATTTTATTGAAACCTCTTGTTTTTCTGCCTTCCTCTCTCACTGCTCCAGAAGGAGGGAGGTTGAGGCCTCGTTCCTGCCGGGTGGAGGCGGGAGTGCCCCCTCCCTGGAGGCCACACGGATACTCCCTGGCTGCTGGATGGTGACAAAACTCCTCACTGTCCACGAGACTTTGTCTTTCACCACCCGGCAGGAAGAGGAAGGGGCATTCGGTCACTGCACGGTGGTCGTGGTGACGGTGGTGACGGGGGCCTCTGGGCACCATGCCAAACAGCTTACGAGGACTCGTTAGTCACACCTCACAAGTGTATGAGTGATAACCTTGTTTTTTCGGATGGGCAGAGAGAGGCTCGGGAAGGCAACTTGCTCAACGTCGTCAGGCGCTAGGTCCGTGGAAGGTCTGAACACCTCACACACCATTCCAGAATGCTGGCGGTGCACGTGGCATTTGGCTGGAGCAGAGGATTAATCGGAGGGGCAAAGGGGTGAGCAAAGGGGTCTTTCAGCAAAGGGGTGAGCACCTGAGTGGCCCTCGTCGGGGGAACCCAAGGCAGGTGAGGACACGAGACGGGGGCAGGGTCGAGTTCCTGCTACGTAAGGTGACAGTGTGACCCTCCCAACAAAATCCCTTCCTGGGTTACCTTTTGTGTCATTTCCAAAATACTAACGAGACAACCGGGTTTGCTGTCTCAGCTTGTGGCTCCTTCGTTTAACAATGTCATGTTCCCGAATCACCGCTTAGTCATTCATTCAGAGTCACTCAGGTCAACGAGACACAGTGTGTATAGACAGACGGCGTCACCCAGGAGAGGCAGGGGACAGAGAGAGGGCAAAAAAAGATTCCAATCGAATTTGGTTCCAAAACGCTGGATGGGACTGGCCAGAGAGGGGAGTGTGCGAAGAATCAGACCAGAAGATGCTTGGATAGCATGGCCGCGGCAAAGCAGTCAGGCAGCGGTCCTGAGGGACTTATAGACACACCCTGTCAACACAGAGGGAAAGCAGAAGGGTTCACAATCCGGTGGGGAGCTACAGGGAGCCGTTTGCCCCAAACGTGCCACAGAACACGAGTTCCACGGAGTGATCTAAGGGAACAAGGGTCCCATGGTTCGTGTGAAAGACCTGGTTAGAGAACCGGATTTCTTTGCTGCAGGCCTTGTCAGAGCCTTTAAAACGTTCAGGTGCGTTATAAACACCGCAGAGGGGAGGTAGTAGGCAGGGTTCCGGGAACCACTGGTTTACAGAAATCCCCCCACTGAGCCATTCACAGACTCTTTTCCTTTTTCGGAGATTTCGTGTGACCACTGTAACCTCACACTTTACCTTACACGGATTATCTCGTCATCCCTCCAAACATCCCTTTGCCGTTGGGGTTATAATTTGCAAGTTCCGGGACAGGAAAAGCCTTACGACCCAGAACTGAACCCCCAGCTGTGGATTTTTCTCTGCTTTCTCAACAATGTGCCTGATGCGCGCTTCGAAGACGACTGGAGCGCTCAATGACTACTTTCTATTTAACCCTGAATTTACCAAGGCAAAAGCAATTTTCTGAGCCCCCCGCCTTCCACCCAACACTCTCAACTACCCCCAGTGAATCACAGAACTCGTTCACGAGAGGACACGGCAGTATTTTATATACTTTCTCGAATCAACGCTCAGCTCTAATCAGAGTGCCACGCACCACAGTCCCCCCCCCCCGCACCTCCCCCCTCCCGCCCGCCCGCCCGCCCTCAGCAGCCCTGCGGCCCCGCCTCCTCCCGCGCCCGCCGGTCCCGGAGGCTGCCGGCCAGCGCGCGCGCCTGGTCCCCCCGGGGGGCCCTGGAGAGCTTCTCGAATTCCTCCAACGTGGCGTCCTGCTCCCGGGAGATGTGCTCCCTCCTCTGCTGCTTCCTCCGGATGGCCTCCTTGATGCCCTCGATGTGGCACTTGCCCTCCTTCTCGGCTTTCAGCTTCAGAATGTGCTGGTTCTCCCCCCGCAGGACGCCGAGCTCGTCCCCGCCGCCCCCGGCCCGCCGCGCCCTGCGCTCGGCCAGCTCGGTCAGCAGCCCCTTGTGCGCCGGCACCTGCTCCCCGGCCTCCCCGCGCCGCCGCCGCCGCACCTGCTGCAGAGGCTCCCGGGGCCGCTGCGCCCCGGGCCCCAGCTCCCTCCCCAGGCCCGGCTGCGCCCCCGGGCACCGCTGGGCGCCCTGCTCCTGGGACAGCTTCCTCAGCAGCTCTTCGGCCTTGGCCTGGCAGTCCAGGAGCACCTTCCGGGCCTGGTAGTTGACCAGGGAGCTGAGGTTGGTCTCCCGGACCGGCTCCTGGGTGTCCGTGGGGTGCAGGCCCTGCCGGGGACCCGCCCGCTCGGGCCTCTCGGGCTCCGGCGCGCGCAGCTCACGGCTCTGCCGGGGGATCGAAGGCGCGAGCTTCGGGGCGCGCTCCGGGTCGTCGTCCGGCCTCGCGGGGCCGTGGCGCCGTCGGACGCGCCGCTCCTGCTGCCGCCACTGCTCGCGGCTCTCGTGCAGAAGCCGCTCGCGCTCCCGCTCCAGGGTCCGCTGCACCTTCTGGTCCGAGAGCCTCAGCTCCTCCCAGGCGGCGGCCGCCTGCTGCTGCAGCTCCCGCATCCTCTGGGCCTTCCGGAGCCGGGTCAGGACCAGGGCCACGATCTTCTGGCCCCCGGAGGTCGTGAGCGCCTCCTCCAGCTCGGTCCTGAGGAGCTGGGTGCGCGGGCTCGGCCGCTCCTCGCGCGACGCAGACGGCTGGGACGGCTGGCGGGCCGCGGACTCCCCGGGGTCACTGCCTTCCCGCAGGTGGGCGCACGCGCAAGCCGCCGGCGCCGCGCACTCCTGGGACGGCCCCGAAGACCTCTGGGACAGAGCCGAGGACAGGGACCGGCGACCCGCTCCTCCGCATTGCGGCACTGCCCACTGGTCTCCGCTCTGCGCCCTCTGCACCCCGAAGGTCCCGCCTGGGGGGCTGGACGCTCCCTCGGGGCAAGGTGGGGGCGAGCCTCCCCGGGCTGGAGGGCAGTGCCAGGGCCCTGGGGGCTGCCGTCGCCAGGCCGGGCCTTGCGCACCGGCCCCCGGCACGCCCCAGGCGTCCTCCAGGAGCCGTCCGTGGGGCCGGGGCCTCCTGGCGCCGTCCGGGGGCCCAGTGGCCACGTCGGTCAGGCTGCGGCTCTCTCGGGGCGAGTCCGGGCACCTGCGCCTTCGAGGCTGCTTGGTGGGCGCGCAGCGCGCATGTGGCGAGGGTGTCCAGGCCTCGCTCCCGGAGCCCGGGGAGGTGGCCCCCGAGCCCGGGTCCAGGAGGGAGCTCGGGCAAAAGCGGCCTAAGCCCTCCATCCTCGCGCCCGTGTCCGGCTCCGCGGCGCTGCGGGGGGCCCCTGGGGGGGGGGCCTGTCCCGGCTCCGCGCCTGTGACACCCTGGCTACTTCACAATGCTCCCCGGACGGGCCTTCGGACAGCCCCACCGCCTGGGGCCGCAGGTATCAGGAGCCCCAGAAGCTGAGGGTGCACGGGGAGCCCCAGGGGTCTCAGGCGAGGACTGAACTCGCGTGTGTACACCTTCACGTGGCGGGATTTTAACGGAACCGGGAGAGGGCGTCACCCCAGCATGGAACGCGGAGGGCTGGCGGGGTTGCCCGTGTGCGCTCACGCCCCTCCCCACGCTTTGCCGGTTAAGTTAGCAAACCCGAGTGTGTTTTGTTTACTTTTTTTTTCACTTTAGAACAGAAAAAGACTAGTTTATTTTTTCCCTAGTACAGCAATTACTACGTTTGTCAAAACGTGCATGTTGTGCGCACACTTCTGAAACAGCATCAGGTCGTTTTCTCCTTGTGGAGGCACCTGGGGCTGCGGGGGGGGGGGGGGGGAGTCACGGGATCGGGTCCTGCAGAGCTGAGTCCGAATCCTCCCCTCCCCCCCCACCCCCACCCCACCCCACCCCACCGTGTGGTCTCGGGAACTTCTGGAAACGTGGAGGAGGGGCCTGACATCATCAGGGCGGCAGGGCCCCTGAGGGTCAAGGGCTTAGCATGTAATAAATGTTATCTTGACGTCCTGCTAGGCCTCAGTTAAAAGTTGTAAGACTTCATCTGTGGGTTTACGGAAAGTTTGTGCAGATTCCTAGCTTAAGAAGAGAACAGAATAACGGAGTTAGTACCATTCGGAAGCGGGCCCCGTCATGTTTGTCCTGTGATCTGCATCTGAGTCATCCTCTCCTTTCTCCAGGTGCAGTGAGGACACAGCTCTGGGCAATATTCTCAAATACGGTCTCTCCTTAAAGAAGAAAGATGAGGATTCCTGGCCCCCCCCCCCCCCCCAGCTGCTGCACCCACATCTCTGAATGTCACAGGCAGGGCCAGTAACGCTGGTAACACTTCCTTGAGACGAGGCTGCAGCCTGGCCCTGTGAACTCATTTCCCCACAGGTCGCGTGGTCAATGGCAGGGTGTTCAGATCCACTTTTTTCCCATGATGCCATGCTGCCTCCAGGAAACGCATTTTCAGTTGAGGCCTGTGCTGTGGACCCCCTGTCCCCCACCAACACCCACTGTGTTGGTATTTGGAGGTGGGCCTTGGGAGGGAATTAGGGGTAGAGGAGGTCACAGGGCCCCATGATGGCATCGGTGTCCCTGTAGGCAGAGGAAGAGACAGCAGTTTCCTCTGTGCCCTGTGAGGACGCAGCAGAAGGCGGCCGTCTGTAAGGCGGGAGGCGGGTCCTCACCAGAACTGAACTGGCTGGCGCCTTGATCTTGGCTTCCCGGCCTCCACACCTGTGACTGGAATATTCCTCAGGCTTCCTGGCCCGTGGTGTTTGGGTGTAGCAGCCTGTGCCGCCCAAGATGAGATGCTTTGAAGAAAATGAGGACTGCGCGTCCACCAGAGGGTCACGGTGGCCATGTCCTTGAGGCCATGTGGTGGCAGTCTTGACCAGAGTGATCTGCCCTCCCCGGGGCCGTCCTGCCGGGCTGGGGGCTCACGTGCTGTCATTTTAGCACATCTGCAGCTGAGGATAAGATTTTTATTGGTGCTACTGATACCGTCATTAGAGATCACGTTGTGACTAATTTTTACTAAGAGGTGACTTCTTAAAAAATTAAGTTAGATTTCAAATGGAATAATTTAAGTTAGGAAGCTTTTAGGCACGGACTGAGCGATGCTGATACCCGAGAGTCCCACGTCTCTAACTTCTTTGTCACACATCCTGCGCGCCTGAACATGGCTCGGGCCGGTGCCAGGCCGCTTCCGGTCACGGCAGAGCGGTGTCGTGGGGCACGACACAGCCACCCAAGGGCCAGGAGACCTGCCACGAGCCAGCGCTGCAGCCCGTGGAGTCCCCTCAAGTGGTCACGTTTCCCCCCCCCCCCGACCCTGAGTTTTCCGTTTCTTCGGCCCTGCAGGAGATAATCTGTGGATTTCTTTCGGCCCCAGATGTAACCGGAAAGAGGGAGTTCAAGCTTGGCCACCACTGCGGGCTTCATTCTGTAGAGCAAACTCGAGTTAACCCATGAAAGGCGCCTACCGTGGTGCCCGGCCTGTGCTCGCAGCCTCGTAAGCATCAGCCACTAGAGTCATCATGACCATCAGGCCAAGAGCAGTGGAAACGGAGCTGCGTGGGGCTGGATTGAAAGACCGGGTTTGGAACAGAGCCACGCAAAGAACCCAGGGACTCAAACTCCCACCCGGGGCTCTTGCCTCCCCGAGGGCCCCCAGAATTCCTTGTGGAGTTGAGAGTAGTTCATTCACCTCCGCCGAGGACTGAATGCGGGACACGGTCCCCACTTTACCGTGACACAAATATCCATTGATGGTCTAGGCCAGGACGAGGAAGGCCATCTGGGTTGCTGTAAGGAGGGCTTCGTGCAGGGTGACGTCGGCACTACCCCGCGTGGGGGCAACCAGGATCCCTGCGGACTGGGATGGGTGTGGTGGGAGTTCCCACCGGGCAGAAGTCACGTGGCCAGGGGGAGCCGCAGAGACACCGGCACACAGGGGTCGTGTGCGTATATGTTGTGCAGTGGGGGGGCCTGATGGGTGGGTCCCCCAGTGGTGCAGGCTGGGCCCGGGTTCCAGAGGCCTCCCACCAGGCCCCAGGATTCCCCGGGGCCCTGGCAGGGGTGGGGCTGGAGGGCTTCGGCAGCTCTGAGGTCCCTGCCCCTCTGTCCCCAGTACGGCTCATGCTTAACCTGTTTTATATCCTGGGGCTCTTGGTGACACCTCGCCGAAGAGAATTGGGGTTCTGCTTGTTAAAAAGGGTTGAAATCCACTGTGTAGACAATAGTGAGTCCATTCACTTCTTGAAACAGAAAGAGGGGATCTGATGGGTCTGTATTTTTTTTTTTTTTAATTTTTTTTCAACATTTATTTTATTTTTGGGACAGAGAGAGACAGAGCATGAACGGGGGAGGGGCAGAGAGAGAGGGAGACACAGAATCGGAAACAGGCTCCAGGCTCTGAGCCATCAGCCCAGAGCCCGATGCGGGGCTCGAACTCACAGAGCGCGAGATCGTGACCTGGCTGAAGTCGGACGCTTAACCGACTGCGCCACCCAGGCGCCCCTGATGGGTCTGTATTTTAAAGCTCACCCTTGGAGATGGGCCATAGGGGGCTGGCTGGTCAGGAATCCAGGTGAGCCAGCAGGACAGTAACCCCAGGGTGGCCAGGGCACGGGAGGGGCAGGTCAGAGGTCGAGACCGGGACCTGAAGGTGGGTTCTGCCTGCAGAAGCCTGGGCAGGTGTGGACAGAGGTGACCTTGGGAACAGCAGTCGTGGAAATGAGTCGCAGGATCTGTGATAGCATGGCGGCCCCACAGCATGGAACAGCCAGCCGAGTGCCTGGAAGAGACTGCACGGAGCCGGGCAGAGAGTCCTTCCCTCCGAGGGCTCCGGACTGGTGGAGGGCGGGTCCCCCTGAGCCTGGGCAGAGGCCGGCTCCTCCGCGCGGATGGAAGGGACGTTTGGCAAGTGCTGAGTGGCCAGGCAATCATTCCCTTGATAAACTGCAAACAATCGGCCTCCTTTTCAGTTGGCAGAAAAATCCTCAAAGCATTTCCCTGGAGGCCCCAGGATTTGGGCCTTCTGCCAAAGACCTGGGCCTCCTTTGTTTCGTTTGTCGGAATCTTGGCAACTATGGCAGACTGACCCCCTCGTTCAAATCCGTCTGTGCGACGGGGTGTGCCCTGTGCCCTTGGCAGAAGGTTCTGGAGACTTCTTGCTGCGTGTCCCGGAGCTGGGTCGTGGGTGGCTCGTCTTCTGAGTGTAGAACACGCGTGAATTGCAAAAACGTGCGTGGGAGAGTGTAATATCTCAACACCTGTGTCTTGGCTACTTGGGATGGTATTTCGAACACAACGGACTAAAGGAAATATCAAAATTAATTTCACACGTGGCTTGTTTTGATCTCCTGGTAAATTTAAAGTTACATGTATATGTAATGTCAATTGTGGCAGATTTCTGTGGATTACTTTGAAATCAGCTTTTCTGAGGAGGCGACAATTGGGGCGAAAGTTTCTTCTCCGTGGCCGGATGACAGGGTCAAGTATTAATTTTCAAAATCCAGCTGTGGAGTCCAATCTCACAGGAACTCGGTCCTTCCTGCCCACCCCAATTTTCCTCACCTCACCCAGGAAAACAGACGCCCCAAAGTAGTAGGGTCAGCAGATACAGCAGGGGCCACTCTGGACGTGCGTGTGGGAGACACGGACGCAGGAAAAACGCCAGACCCACAGAGCAGGAGAGAAAGAAAAGTCTTGCGTGAACACCCAGGGCAGTAACGGAAAACTTACGCTAATGCAGAACCAGGGATGAAAATTGTAGCCTGTAAACTCCTTCAGGAAAAGAAAAAAGTGGGCTAAGAGCCTGGAACTATGACAGTTACGTTTCCGTGGAAACCATCATTTACCCACGATGCACACTTTCCACACGTGTGCTGCCGTGTGTAAGGGCATCATCGCTCCGCGTGCCGTGGGCGCACCCTTTCCCGGCAGCGGCGAGGGGCGCAGCCCGGCCTCTCCTGGGGCACAGAGAGGGTGTCCCCGGCCCGGCCGCCAGCCCAGCCTCCACGTGGCGGCCCCGCGGCCTCGGCCGGAGAAAGTCACGTGTGGACGAGGGGGAGGAGAGGGTTCTAGAGAGTCGCGGTTTTCGGCGTGTCGGGATCTGAGGAACCTGAGTGCAATCAGAGGCAGATGGCAATCAGCCAGTTCTCGTGAGGACAGGAGGGGTCACGCGTACTTTCAGGGCAGACGGTGAGCTCACCCCCACGGTGGGTCAGGGGGACCCACCAACAGTGACAGACGCACACGATGGCACAATTCCGTTACTTATTTTGAAACCTTATGACAAGGAGTTCGTAATGCTAGACACAGGAAGAGGCTTTTGC